CCTAACCTCCTATCATTTAAAAAATGTATTTCTTTTTTTTCTTACTAACATTAGAAGTGTAGGGTGATGAGTTTTTAATTGATGTAGTTGATAATTTTGTGACATCCACTTTAAATATTGTTTTTTAAAAAAAAACAAAAATTGAGTGAAAATGACACAAGTGAGGTTGTAGCTTCGTATAGCATAAATTTCCTTTTGATCCCCACTTTGGGCATCTAGTAATAAAAATTATATTATAAGAAAGAATTCAAATGTATATATATTTTGTTATCTTTCTTAATTAAATTGCACCGCAAAAACTATTACAAGTTAATTGTTCTTTGATCTTAACTAAGTAGGTATCTTGCTTTTCTGATCCTGCAACCTTCATACTTGACAACTTGGGCGTGCCAAACCAATGTGAATTCAGCTTTAAATGCACCTCTTAATTTAAGGGTTATGAAATCCTTTGGAAGATCTACAGACATATAGAATACTACAATTGGTGTGTGTGTGTGTATATATATTTGTGTGTGTGTTGCTTTTCTGATCCTGCAACCTTCATACTTGACAACTTGGGCATGCCAAACCAATGTGAATTCAGCTTTAAATGCACCTCTTAATTTAAGGGTTATGAAATCCTTTGGAAGATCTACAGACATATAGAATACTACAATTGGTGTGTGTGTGTGTGTGTGTGTGTGTGTATATATGTGTGTGTGTTGCTTTTCTGATCCTGCAACCTTCATATTTGACAACTTGGGCATGCCAAACCAATGTGAATTCAGCTTTAAATGCACCTCTTAATTTAAGGGTTATGAAATCCTTTGGAAGATCCAGAGACGTATAGAATACTAAAATTGGTGTGTGTGTGTAAATCTATATATGTACGTAGTTGGAATATAGCTGTTTACTGTTAAATAGAATGTGTTTAGTGACTGGACGAACACTAGCTGCTTCATTTGACAGAAGGAGCATATTGTAAACAAAGTTGAATAATTAATTATTTTCTAAATTAAAAGTATTGGAAATTTATAATTAATGTTCATAGATTTTGGAAAAGTTGGGTTTTTGTAACTTCAAGTGGGTAAGTACATATTGTTGTCAAACATGGGAGTTAAATATTAAAAATTTCTATTATATCACCAAATTTTACCTAATCTTAGATCTAGAATATATATTACATATATGTATACACATATATATATATATATATATATATAAAAGAAAAGAGGTTATTCATAGTACTAGATTACAAGTGTGTGTGTATATATATATAGATATAAATGTACATTAAATCTGGGTCGATCAAACCGAACCATAAATGTTTAAATAAGCAAAAGCTAGTAATCAAGAACAGACCCACTTGTAATTTCATTAAGGGGACAACTTCATTGATTAGTTTAAACATTTGATAATCACCCATTAATGAATACAAAATGGAAGAAAAGCACTCCAAGTGACATGGAATTTGGGCTCTACATATAATTTTTTATATATATGTATATATTAAGTGTTTCTTGAGGAACTTTTGGAGCTATATGGTTAGATATATATACCTTTAAACCCTTTAAATTTATTTCTTTTAGCACTTTTTATATTAGCACAAATATTTTTTCCCCATTTCCAAAAAAAAAAATGTAATAAAAGAATGTTGGTTAAATCAGGAACCAACACGAACACCCATATATATATATATATATATATATATATATTGCAATATTAATTTATTCCACTTGCACGGCAAAAGAGATTTATCAAGGATTAATCGGTCACTTAATAGTCATAGTAGGAGCCGAAAAAGGGATTATCAGGCTTAGGTGGCTAATTAACTATCAAAAAAATGATTAGAAAGTGAAAATAATGCAATTAAACAAATTAATTTCGTCATTAAGGATTAATAGATAAACATTAACAATAGGAAATTAAGGCTTAACCATGACAGCTTATAGATCTTACATGTGCGTGCATATATATATATATATATATATATATGTTGAGGATTATGGGTTACAGATACGAGAATTTTGTGTTTGCCAATCACCAGGGACTTGTCAAAACTATAAGCTTGTCTCAGCGTAGGTTTAACTACAACAGTATGATATAATAATCAACTTTGTGTACGTTTAGAAATACTTAATATATATATGGAAGATCCATTTGGAAATACTTTACCCACAGAATATTCAGCTAGCAACTAGTAATATTTGGATTTAATTACTTGTTAAAACCTCAAAAAAGGCAATTCAGCTTTCCCTATATATATATATATATATATATATATATATATATATATACACACACACATATATATAATCTCAATTGCCAAATTAAACCCCTTACCCCACCCAGAATACCTTTGTCCTCAATTTTTAACATGTCTGCATCTTTCATTTTCCATGATAATTTTCCGGGAAAATTTAACTCGAGAAAATTACTCTTAGACACCAATCATCAACCAACACCATCTCCTTCTCCTTCGACAGCCAACGATGATGGGTTCGAAAGCGATCTTCTTATGATCATCTCAGTGTTGTTATGCGGCTTGATTTGCTCACTCAGCCTGAGTTCTCTAGTTAAATGTGCATTAAGGAGATCAAATTCACAATCATCAAGTGGCAGAAACTCTTCCGTGCCAGTAATCCAAAAAGGAGTAAAGAGAAAAGATCTTAAGGCTTTTCCGATTTTAAGTTTCGCGTCTGAAATGAAACTGCCGGGAATGGACACTGAATGTGTGATTTGCTTGACAGAGTTTGCAGCTGGTGATTGCCTACGGCTGCTGCCTATGTGCAGCCATGGATTTCATGCTCGATGCATCGATCAATGGCTTAAATCACATTCTTCGTGCCCTAAGTGCAGGAGGTGTTTGATCATCCAGACATGTCAAAATATCAAAGGGTTGACTCACCTCGCTCAGCCTGATTCCTCATCGCAACCTTAATTTGCAAGCTCATAACCTCACTTGAATGTGTTATAATGCTTAGAGTTTTTGGTATTTAAAACATTTCGTCTTTGAAAAGATGAAAACCCTTCGTGTAAATACTTCAACAAGAAACGTAAGAAAATTTCATCTCCGATTATCTTCATCATAATTCTAATTTGTACGTGTTTGGGATAATTCAGTTTCAGCTGTGAGTATTTGTTAAAAGGGCTTGTTGGAGGAAGAAGGACTAATGGGCTTCTATAATTAACGTTCAGGATATTTTTAACTTGTTTAATTTTACTTTATATTTTGTTTCATATATTATTATGCTGGGATTATATTTGTACTTCATTATTCATAAATTCTAAATAAAATTGGCTAATTTTATTATTTAATTAAAATATGTAATTTTGGGTTAATAAATTAGTTATTTAAATTTAAAATTATAAATGTTTTAAATTCATATTCCTCCCATATATAATTTGAATTAATAACTTAATTATAAATTTTTATTAGTAATAAATTTCAAAATTGGTCCGGCCAACCGTCCCCGCCTAAATAATTAATTAATTAATTAATTTTATTAAATTATTTGCAAACCAATTTTTACAAATTAAATATAAAAGTATTAAGTCAATACTGTGATCACGACCAACGTTGATGGGGAAGTGCTTATCCTAAACTCAGCTTTTTCAAGAAGTAGCTTTTTATCTTTTTTGCGTCAAATTTCAAAAAAGCCCAGGCCTTATGTTCAATGAAAAGCAACTCGGTAAGTGCTTTTTTCATTTATCCCTTAATTTACGTTTGTGAATTAAAAGAAACTTCTGGGAAGGTTCTTTCATACAGAAAAAAAAAAAAAAAAAAAAAAAAGAACTTATATTTAAGCCGTAATTTGGCTTATTAACTTTTACTGTTAACGCATGAGCCCGACCCTGCAGGCCGTACAAATTTAAGAATTTATTACATAAATTCTTTGCTTATTTAATTAGAGTATATATATATATTGAAACAACACTCTATAAATTAATTAAATTTTATTCTAATTTCAAATAAATTTATTATTTTTTTTAAGTAGTAAAAATTTTAAAAATATATATATATATTTTAGTAAAAAATTTCTTTATAAATTTTAAGAAAAAAAAAAAAAAGGGTATGTCCAGTAAAATCCAGAGACAACAGAAATGCAAATAAAAAGGCAACCTTATCTCATCTATGGGAGACCCCCAAATAAATTATTATTCTTTTTTATAAAAAAAAAAATAATAATAATAATAATAATAATAAAAAGTTCAACCAAACTCTAATGTATCACTGCCATGATTGAAGTTATAAATTAATAAATAAGTGGTAAAGCCAAAGTATCCACTTGCTGTGATTGCCATATTATTATATACAAAAACCACTTGTTGTTTTTTCAAGCAATGGGTGCTTAAAAAAAAGGACAGAGACGCCTCTAGTTTTCAACTTTCTGCACACCCAACAGATCATCTTTGCTGTAAACTTCAGAAGATTGCAATCAAACTCTGCATAACCGAGAAGAATTATTGATTGATTTCATGATAAAACAAAAGGAAACAGATCTAAAAAGGGGATCCTCATATCCTAATTCCAATCAAATCATTACACATATTTATATATAACAATTGAACTATGTGTATAGTGAACCAGAGAAATGAAAACATGCATGCCTAAAAAGCATAAAGTATTCTGTTTTCCAAAATGAATTTTAATTTACCCTTTGCTTTCAACAAAAAATAATTTAATTTGACCATTCTTCTATCTACACCACGACTACTAATTATTGTAAGTAAATTTCACTTCAAATTAGGTAACTATGAATTGGAGAAAATCATGTTTGTAATGAAACTAAACTAAGAGTTGAATAAATTAGCATATATATCATCAATGTCTTTTTCTGATTGGAAAGGTTCATGGTCCTTGAGCAACAAGGGGTCCTACTTGGCATTTTGTTGTATAGAAGATAAATATGCTCAGTGGCAAATCTACGCAAAATAAAAACAGATAAGACCTTAATGGCCTCCCAGATCCTCCTCTCAATCAATTTTAATTCCCCCCATCAAATGAAAAGCAAAAAAAAAAAAAAAAAAAACTCTAATCTCATTTTTTAATATACCCTTTCACCTTCCCATCTCTCTCTCTACACACATATACATATATATATATATATGTATAATCATTATATCTCTCATCAACCCATTACCCCCTTTTCTCACCAACATAAGTCTACCTCCCCAAAAATGTCTACTGCTTCTTCATCACTCCTCCATGATTTCCACCCAAGAAAGCTCTTATCAGAACCAACTAACCCAGCACCAGCTCCATCACTTTCTCACCCCTCTGCTACCACCAACTTCAATGGAAATGTCCTCATGCTCCTCTCCGTCCTCGTATGCGGCGTCGTTTGCTCCCTCTTCTTACATTACATCATAAGGTGTGCCCTCCGCTGTTCTTCCTCCATAACTTTTACAGAACCCGGTATAAATACCACCTCCACCAGGGTCGCTAACACTGCAGGAATCAAGCAGAAAGCACTCAAGACTTTCCCAGTTGTAACCTACCCGCCGGAGATGAACTTGCCGGGTCTTGACACTGAATGTGTTATATGCTTGTCGGAATACGTTGCCGGAGACAAGCTCCGACTGCTGCCCAAGTGTAACCATGGATTCCATGTTCGTTGTATCGACAAGTGGCTTAAGTCGCATTCCTCTTGTCCAAAATGCAGACATTGTTTGATTGAGACTTGTGAGAAAATTGTTGGGTGCGAACAGAGCAGCTCCCCGCCTGAGTCGACTCAGGAAACTGTGGTGAGGATTGTGACGGTGGAGCAGGAGAGATTGGGGAGTGGCAACACAGAAAATTTAGTCAAGAGTTTTGAGGTGTTTGATTTGTTGACTGCTGAAGAGATGGGAAACTGCAAGTGTATAGAAAAATAGGAAATATAATTAAATTTTCAATGATAATTCATTCTTGATTATCAAATTCTAATCCACTAACATATGTATAGTCTATGTAAATATCAAAGCTTAATTATTGGTTTTCTCAATTTTATCCAACATGTCTTAAAGGTCATATTGTATCACTAAGTTAATTAATCACACTTTTCAGAAAACAATTACTTAGTTCGATCATTTGGGTCTACTATTACAAGAGAGGTAAAATAATATCTAAGTAACAGTTAAAAGGGTTCGAGTTTAACTGTATGTTTTATATATATATATATATAACTGTGTTGTTTCTTTATTAAAAAATTGATTGTATTGATACTAATTCTGCAGAAAGTTATATAGTTAGTTATTCCGATGTATAAATTTTAACTAATAAATGTAAAACTAAGACAGGTCTTAACAGGGTATGATATTATTTTGAAGTAACTATCGAAATAAACCCACAATTAAAAAACAGGGATTAAATATAATTTTTATACCAAAATAAGACTGAAAAAGAAATTAGGTAGCAAACAGTGAGCATCCCCTGTTCTATGAGTGGAATGGCTATTTAGGCTTTGTTTATTTTCTTCACTCTCTTTAATGTCCTTAGCCGAGTGTTGTCACTTCATAATTCATGCAAATCTTCTAAACATCTTTTCCATAGATAATCCAAATTATACTAACCATAAATTTTCTATGAAAATTTACCATACAATAAAATTTAAACCACAACACCTTATCGACATAAATGAATATCTACAGCAAGATTTTTCATAAGTGGATTTCATAATTTCCTATAGCATATTCTCATTACACAGTTGTAGGAAACATTCTTTAGTCAAAAGGATAAGGATCAAACCATCAATTAAGCATAACTTGTCTAATCTCTTGCAATTATAAATAAATATATAAGACAAATTTAGCAGTGCTGGATTTTTTTAAAACATGCATGCAGACCCAGTTGCTTAATTTGATGACAAATTCTTCTTTTTCAATGCTTTCTCCAAATCTTTATCCGATGTATTAGTTCTCAGAAGCCAATTAGTACTTTAGTAGTAACTTTAGTTAGAATCCAAAAAGATTGATATCTATCTTTTTAACTCTTAATTACTTGTGAAAATCAGTGAGTTGATACTTTGATGTCACTTGATCAAATATATAATGCTGCTTTAATTAGGAACCACAAGCAAAAGCTAAGTATGTATGTACAGCAGATGGATTATCTTGAATATTTGCTTGGCAGAAAGAACACAGCCTGGTTTGATGAAAAGAATGATTCACAAGGGGGACCATATACCTTTTCCTTTTTTTTTTTACTGTTTGTCTATTTCTATTGGCTGCTTATTGATAGGGTGGAAATAAAGGCTTCATTTGAGTAGCTTAAAATGAGATTAATTAATTTAAAAAGCACCTCTTTAAGCCTAAGCTTATTGGTTTGTATCAGAAAATTGTGGCTTACAGGTAGGATTGACATGCTTTTGTTTTGCTCCAGGGGCAATTTATTTATTCTTAAAGAACCAAATCTAACTTTTAGATTTTATGATAAAATCTAATATGGTATCACCTTACCGTATATTCTACCTTTGACCCTATTAGATAGTACGTCGATCAAATATAAACCTCAACCCAGATGAGTTTCAAGGGTAATTCTCTTGCTTTTTAACTTGATTAATACAAGCATGAAAAGTAACTGCCACACAGCAGTGGTCTCCTACTGAGGCACTGCTATAAGTTGTTGTTTGACTTGATCAAGGGCTTATTCTCTTTTGCTCCACTTGAATGTGATTCTTAATTGGTGCACAAAATCCTAAATCTGACATTGTGCAGTCAAGAAAAAGACCCGGCACACACACGCACACAGATCAACTTTGAACACGTTGCAACCAAGGAATTAGAAAAAGACATTTCAATGAAGCAGCTCTTGAATGTGGAATATCTAGAGAACCCTTTTAAAGAAAAATCTAAATGGTTCAGATATTTCCGAGCCAATAAAATTTGGAAGGACTGTTACTTTTCAGATATTATGAGAAAATTAACCATACTTTCAAGCTTAATTTTTTCTGTATATGTCACACCTTCAAGAAGATTGAACATTTAAGATACAAATATAAGTGCGTGCTTTCCTCTTATCAGAATAAGCATAAACCAAGAGGTTGGAAAAATAAACAATCTTCAGATTTAGAATGCGGAACGTTTATCTCTAGAGAACAGTACGGTCACAAGGTCTAAAAGTTAAAGGTAAGAAATTTGAATGCTTATATATTTTGCACTATTTTAAGTCAACAAAAACATCCAATACATACGTTTATAAAGGAAAATCAAGCTAAAGGAAGAATACTGGGGTTTGGATACAAAGACGGGGCTAAGCTCAACTTATCACTCGAAGCCCAGATTATACAGAATATCTCCACTCGGTGTTAACTTTATATGCTCTGTTAAAAAAGGCTTCTATAGAATACAGAAATATCTCCACTCATGTAACTCATAGATTAGATAAACTTCTACAAACAAAGAAGAAAAGATTTTCTGAAGGTGTGTGTGTGTAGCAAAACTAATTCAGGGGATTATAAAAATTTTTGCTTTGGAGGAATTGCTTCATTACTTGTCAAAAATTCGTAACTTATCCTACCTCTCCATTATGCGGATCCATGTATAATAAAGTTACATGCAATGTTTAGCCACAATATAATGATTATTTTAACTAATTTCATACTAAGTGCAATGACCTCGGGTCTCCACTTATCCTCTGTTTCCATTTATTGCACTTTCAACTCCAGTTCAGGTTGCTTCTTTGCTAACATGCACTATAATTTTATATTCTCTCCCTATAGTTCCTTCGAATAGCACCACCTGACTTGCCAACAAAGTTGGAAAATGAATTTATTTATGTCTCATTTGACTTTGAATTTCTATTGGAAATCCATTAAACAAAACTATGTAATTAGTTGGATCAAAAAAGTTGAGCCGCCCAATATCATAATTAGTGTCTAGAATTTCCTGGGAAGACTAATGCTTGAGGAGACCATTACTAAAAGGTATGTATTATTCAAATACAAAATTCCAATGCTCCATCCATGAGCAGTACTTGAAATTGCTATGCAGACAAAATACTTCAATCAATTATGAACCTTTCCTTAGCTAGATTAATATTGTTGACAAGGCACGGAAAACAAAAAAGATGGATGAAACCCTTGTATATCTTTTGTCTTTGTAAAAATCAGTATCAAAAGTAATTGAAGGATGTTTGACAAAATTCCTGAGGTACCCTAATCTCACATCAGAAATATATGTTATTATTGAACTTCATATATATGTTCAAATCATACACTACTGATAGTTTAAATTTTACTTTCTGAAAATCAGTTATTTGAATTTAAAAAGTTATTAAATCAGTAATTATTGGAAGCAAGCATTACAACTTGTAGCACTAAAGATCTTGGATCTTATAGGAATTGCTTGATCAGAACATCAAAGTTTAAGAGATGAAGATTGTGATAGTCCAAGATATACTATACAAGTCACATATTAATAATACTTTTGATAGGTGTTTGAACTTCAATGTTCAATGGAGAATTAAAGAAGGCACCTCAAAAATCAAGATTGTGTTTTAACATCAAAAGAACGGAAGAAGATTCCTCATCACCCAAAAAAAAATGAACTTTGTTAATATATCCAAACAAGGAGCAATAGTAAATGCTAACCCTTTAGGCTGCTTGTAGAAAACTCCAATCCGGATCAAGTAACATGCAGCAATGATGTGAAGCAGTACACTAGAAAAGCTACTTTCTGTTGTCCTATATTCTTTTCCTTTGTATTCTTTTGGATATCAACAATTGGTTACAATAATTGAGAGCAAGCCTATTTCACGTCACACAAAAGTTTCAGCTACTGATCTTTATTGCTGTTATATGCTATGTATCTAGCCTTTGTGTTTTAGGTATATCTTTACCCTGACCACTTTACAACTCCCACCATCCATCAATACTAATTTGATAAGAATTTCTCTCTTTACTAACTTCTCATCATTACTTTTCCTAAAACTTCTTTCTGTCTGTTTAAACCTTAATGTTAAACAATTCAGAGTCATTAGCTACCTGCCAGTGTACACCAATATGCTTCTTTATCCAGAGAAAAGATGCTGCTTCCACATTTTCTGCAGGATTTCCACACAGATATAAGCACATTTTTCACCATATGTTTGGACAAGTTATCCATAAAAAGCTTTTATTATGTAAGGAAATTTGCTTTTCATAAAGTTTCTTTCAATTATTTTTCACTACCTCTAAAAAGCATTTCATAATGTTCTTGTGAAGCAGATATTCAACCTTTTTGCTAATTCTCATAATGCACTCCCATGTCTCTTGAGTTACAGCTTTCAGTTATTTTCATCTCGAGCACTGTAATGATGTACAATGGAGAATTGGTGGTGATGTACCCTTATCATTCTTTTTCTTTTGTTCTAAAGGAGGCAGCGTGGATTTCATAATGGGAGCAAAAGGTTTTTCTTTTCTCTCTCTCTTTTAATGTGCGAGCAGGATTCAATAATAACTCACACTCTCGATAAGTAGAACTTTGAAGGACAATAAAAATTAAAAAAAAAAAAAATAGTGTTGATAATAATACATATGAAGAATATTGTTTCACTTGCGGCTCTTTTGAGAATACATGTTCTGTACAGTAAATACTAATATTTAATTTAGTAAAAGCTATACATATTTGATATAATTTATAATCAAAAATTACTAGAAATAAAATGGAAATGAAATTAAACAGCGTAAATATCTAAAGTAGGAATAGATTGCTTTTATAGTGCTCTATCCTTCCAATTTTCTAAGTCCTTAATCATGAGAATATAATCATAAGTAAATTTAAGTGATGAACAACAACCTCAATGGGAGTATCGCACATGCACGACATTCATATTTGTATGATATTCTACAACAAGGAATATTCTTTATTTATCCCAGATCAGCATATAAAGACACAACAATTATATAGTGAAATCCAGCTTACCAAGAAGATACAAATTTCAACCGACACTTAGCGCAAAACCATAAAGTGAAGCATTTTTTTAATTTTATAATTTTTTTTTTTTAAAAAAAAAAAAGGAGCAAACTCCCTCTGAGATCTTATTAAACTTAATTAATTCTCTGAAAATAAAAACAGTACCTATATTATTATGAACTTGCTGTCTCAACTTTTTGTACATGTTGTACAGGTGGGTTTTGAAGGCAAAACTACAGGACACAAAAGTAGATCAAGAAATCAACCTCGTAATTCTTTCCACATTACCATGAAGAACCCATTTAATATTTAAAAAAAAGAAAGAAAAAAAGCACCCACTTGATATTTCATTAAAAAAAGAGTACCCTTATGATTTTTCATAAAAGCAAAAAGATTCCAATTAAACAACAAACTATCTGGAAAAGAAAATTAGTTAATTTGGAGGCAGAAGGAGAGGAGCATATTAATTAATTTATTTGGATTATACTTAGATTTGCAATCAGGAAAAGATCACGGCGTGCAAAGAAAACAAAATAAGAGATCTAAAAGGGAGAGGGAAATGGCTTTCTTTAATGTTAATTTCACGGTCATTGACAGGTTCAAAAATGAAAAGGAGCAGGCAGCTGCAGATGGCTGTGTTGTATTGTGTACTAAAGATACGAATATGAGAGTTAATAGTAACTGAGAATGACAGATAGGCTTAAAACCAAAGTGGCTTACAGTTTTTCAAGATTAATTGGTGTTAGCTAATTTCCTTTTTAATTATTGAAGTTATTATTAATAAACTTTAATTAAAATTAGTGGGAACATTCTAATTTAGTTGGAACAAAAATTATATCAAAAACATTTATATATACGAGTAGTACCAATCAATCTCGTTCCTTTATATGGGACCCTGCAATAACTTGTCATGCAACAGAAAATTGAACAAGCTGAAAACGGACTAGAAGTTGCAAGCACTAACATGAAATGAAAGAGCAATAACTCACAGGGAAAATCACGTTGAGTTGAGTCTGACTCAAAAAAGATCTGGCATGTCTATCACTTTAAGCTGCATATATGAAAACAAAAAATTTAGAAAAAGAAGAGATCAAAAGAGATGCCCATCCCTCTAAAATTACATCTCCACAAACGTATTATCGGAACCTTCATGGCTGCTTCTCAGGCCACTGGGTCCCCAGCAGCATTTACAGATGCAATTTGCCAAGATAGCCACCACGTGTCACTTTCACACAAGCCACCAATCCTCACTGGGACGCCAATTAAAATATGTAAAGCTCAGTGGAATGTGTCCGTATGATTCCAAAACCTGCAAAAATAAAATCAAAAGATTAAACCTGTATGTGGGGCTAAAAAAAAAACCTTCGCATATTCTCTTAACTACATTTCACATGTGAATAATCTTTTTATAATATTTATATATATAATATAATATAACATAATGCTCGATAGAAGAAACTTCAACCCTATATATTTATGTCATCCCTCTTATGCAGCAAGCAGCAAGAAGTTATCTCAACTATCAAAACTCTCTAAACCATGTCTGCTTCCTCTTCTATATCCACTCAACTATTCCAACATCCAGTATTTTACTCCCGAAGATTACTACCACAAAACCTTCAGCATCTACCAACAGCAGCAGCTCCTCCCCCCAGTAACAGCCATGACCCATCTGATCCCTATGGTGCCAGCAATGGCTTTGACGCTAATGTTGTTATGGTTCTCTCAGTCCTCCTTTGTGCTCTAATTTGCTCCCTGGGACTTAACTCCATCATAAAGTGTGCATTAAGATGTTCAAGCTTAGTGGCTTCTGAGACGAGTGGCAACCCCTCAGCTCGTTTAGCCAACACTGGGATCAAGAAAAAGGCTTTAAAGACTTTCCCAACTGTAAACTACTCAGCAGAGTGAAGCTGGACAACAAGTGTGCCATTTGCCTCTCTGAGTTTGCATCCGGCGAGCACTTGAGGCTTCTGCCCAAGTGTAACCATGGATTCCACGTCCGCTGCATTGATAAGTGGCTAAACTCGCATTCCTCCTGCCCTACCTGCAGAAACTGCCTCCTCCAGACCTGCCAGAAGATTGTTGGTTGTAGCAAGGTTACCACATCGCAACCACCACCTCAACCAGCAGCAGAGACTATTTTGCACATAGCACCACTACAACCTGAAGGTTTGATACGCGACTATAGGTGAATTAATTAGTTGAGTAAATACATCTTACTAGTTCTACTTCATGCTACCTGGTGTTCATCACTGTGCTGCAAAGATTAGCATAGGTCAAAAGAATTCTAGGATTAGTTGTAAATTTTTATAAGTAAAAGAAATTATGACTTGTTTCATTTTTTACACCTCCTCATCCATTAAAAAAGGATTCAAATCACGATTCAGTTAAAATTTCAGGAAATGGAAGAATTCCTTAACTCCATAAAATCGCAGCTCAGTCAACAATGTAAGAAACAAGTCAACAGTCTCAAAAGTTATAACCAATCAACCAGTAATGAACGGGCGGCTGCCGCCCCCACCCAATCAGCTTGGTCAACTAACAGAAGCTTTTCTTTGCTTCTTATTTATTCAGAAATCACCAATTCTAATAACAATGCTCTGTCCACCTGCTTCACGATATCAATATAATATCATACTGAAAAATACTAATTCCTATAAGAAATACTGTGTCAAAAAGTACCCATTAACAAAATTAATCCCGTAAAATGCAACACTGACCACACAAAAATCTTGAATAATAAAGGTAATTACCACCAATGACAAGGAAGATGCCATAAATTCAAAACATGCATCCTGCATTGGAAAATATAGAAACCACACATTAAACAAAGTATTTTTCATCCACATACCATTGAACCAATGGAAGCTGAGGGCAAATCCACTATCTATTCATGTCAAACGAAATTTCACCCAAAGGGGAATGTTATATTATATTACTCACATGCAGAATATGATAAATGGAGCTGACTAATGACAGTAGCCAGACTGCCGCACTGCACTGGTTAAAAGCTATCTTGTGGTATTCACAGAACATGGATCCCTGAAATACACTTGAAGCATGATAGAAATTTGAACAAAAACAACAGTGCAATTCCTAGATAGTTCTATATCCAATTAAAATTAGATATTCTGTATAATTTTTTCCTTAACAAGTGAGAATAAAAAATATATGATTCTGAAATTTATGATAGAAGAGAAATTAATTTAATTATACATGAAATGTCTATTATTATTTTATATAACTAAAAAAAAAAGAATTAGAATCTAGAAAGAGTGAGAATAGAGTTGATTTGATCAAAATATTAGTACTACAGTCCATTTTTCAAGTACCAATTACAGCATTGCAGAAGAACTATTGATTTGAAAACAAATCAGAAGTTGAGAAGATACAATAGCTAACAAGGGTCAACATGGAATTGATCTTCCAATATTTCATCAAATGAATATCGGACACTTAACACGAGCGTTCAGATCCCTCAAAATCAATTTTTTATCTTGGACCCCTCTTTCCCGGGGACTCATATGACACATTGAACAACTTTTTAGGAGCTAACTTCTAATGAGACATGCACTGAGATTTTATTGCTGAGGATAAGGACCAGAAAGAATAAGATTTGAGCGACTTATTGCCAATTGGATATATAATTTGAAATTTATCAGCAGTTATCACTACTCATGCCTTAATATGCATGGAGTAAAATCAAGTGAAGGAAAGAAAAATGTCCAGCACCATGTACTCATTTGAGATTGAAACTATAATTCTATGGACAGATGACACATGTTAAGAAATATTTCATCCATTGAAATTTTCACATCAACAAGCACAATGAAGAGAACAGTAAAATTCCATGGAGGACTTAGTAAATAGACTATCTATTCTGAAATATCGCAAACAGTAATATTCTAACTGGTTATTATGTCTATTAGAACATAAACAATAAAGTTAAAGTCTTTTTCTATTAACTTAAAACTTTAAAATAATTAATGAGGCAATCAATTATCTAACATAACAATGGAGTAGAGAAATAAATTTCAGACTCGTTTGTGACTCTACCCAAAACCTGTTATATATGTGCTTATTCGACTCGTCAATTTGAGTTTGTGTTCACATACTAAATCTGTTGTCTCACTTACATGCATGGGGATATATTAAAAATATAAATAATAAAGTGCGGCAGTTTTCTATCAGTTTAGTTTTTAACATATTTAATCACCCAACTAATTAAGTATTTAACAAGTTATATTATCTTATTATTCTTTGCAAAAGTCATACAATTGCGATCACTCTTAAGTTCTAGCAAGCAAGAAAACAGCCAAGAGGATAAACTTAGCACTCAACTATCACAATGGTCCAAACAGGGTCATGAATTTCGCACATGATTATAAGATATTACTTGAAATTATGGTTTAGAATATTGAGTTTTCAAATGTAAAATATGTTAGTGTAGCTTCAAAACCTCCAAACAAGACACAAAAGAACTCTTGTATCTTCTGACTCTTGAGGAATTTTCAATCTTTCACAAAAACGAACAGTAAGCTGATTTTTCACAGCAGCAGCCACCATTCTTATTGACAAAGACAATCTTAAAATAATCTTAAAGACTTGGACACAAGCTTCTGTGTTCCTTCCTTATGTCTGCCCCAGTATGGCTCCCTTGCCAGGCCTTTACAATTTTGATAAGGGTTCCAAGAACGGCACTGCTAGATTGTTAGTAGCCAAAAAAAATTATTTATAACTCAGAATAACAAAACAAATTCTACATATAACTGAGATATACTGTTTATTAAGAAGTTAAAATCACTACAGACTTCAGTCATGAGTGAATTTGTACATAAATTTTTCACTTGAACAGGATGTACAAGAGATGTGTAGGGAAAGAGAGAGAAGTTTTGTAACTAGCAAGACCCCTGTATTAGCTTCCAGATAACCAAAAACACACATTTTAGCACAATGAGAATTAGTGTTCAAATACATTAGATTTAAATCCCTAGTAAGCTAAGAATTACACGTAGCAAATCAAGCGGTGGAAGAAACCAGAGTAGTCCAACTCTTCGATTCCACAAAATCAAATCAAAGACAAATCCATTTCAAATCGCCATTATACTTGCAATGCACCGGCTTGAATCTCAAGCTTGGCGACCAACAATACGCGATTGCAGTAAACGTTTAATGATACAACGTACAAGACAATTTTTTTCAAGCAAAATATTACCAGAGTTAGGCCAGAGAAGACGTGAATTCGTTTCTTCGTTCTAACAATGAAAGACGAAGAAATTCATACCTCTCTCTGAGAAGCTGAAATACTTAAAATACTCCCGCGACAAATATTCCCTTCCCGGGTGTACCAATCGGTTATTAATGGGTCTAAAAGATCCGACCCGATACAATTCGGACTCCAACCATTATCCCGTGAACATTGGGCCTCTTAGATGTGGCCTATTGGTTTTTTGTAGAATATAACAATAATGTGTAAAATTATTCCAATTTGTTGAAATTAAAAATCACCATAAACAGGAAGTTTCTGTTTTTTGGGGTAGAAACAAAATGGTAATGTCAAAAATATCATTTTCCCAATAAAGATAATAGGAACACAGTAATCACTGTCATCTTGTGACAATCACAAATCAACTTTCATGTCCTCGCGCACTGCACCAAAATTTTTTTATGTGCATCTCAAATCCAATTTTTAGTGGTCACAGTGATATGAACTCAAATACCCATTGTGATATATATATATATATATATACATGAAGGCTTTTTGTAGTCTTGTATTGTCTTGGGCTTCTTTATTTTTCTATCGACTATAAAAATTTGTGTGGGCTTCAGTTTTTATTTCTTTAAATAAAATCGATGTGGGTTTCTATCGCAGGAAATTAAATACGAAGCTGGACACAAATTCAATCTTTCTTTATTTGTGGTCAATGTTTACCTCCTAGACCCAAAAAATTTTAATGAGATGAAATTGCCAAACAAGTGGATCTTTAAAAAATTAACTCTATGAAATGAAAAAAAAAAAACCAAACTTATGTAAACAAGAGAAAAAAGTAAAAGACGGCATAAAATTTTATGCCAAGTATTATAAAACATGGAAATTTATTCAGTTTTATTAAACGGTGTGTTTGTGCCAATTGACTTGTTACCAATATTATTTATATGTGTGACAATATTTACTCTCCCTAAAACTGTTTTATTTATTTTTATTTTTTATCTATTTATATCAACCAAAAAAAAAAAAAAAGAAAAGAATTCATGAATATTTCAATGATACGAAGGGAGTTTTTTTATTATAAATTTTTAATGCAATGAATAAGTATAATTTGTAAAATAGAGTTAGATATTTTATTATGTCAATATTATAAATTTTATTTGATTCACACATACAACGTAGCTAACAACTTACGTAAGTAATTCAATCATTTTTTTTTATAAAATTAAATATCACTAAAAAAATAAAATTCATAATTTTATAAATATAATATACATTAATTTATAATATTTAATTCAGTATAATTAAAAAATTAATTTATTAATATATTATTAAGATAACAGTAACAA